GACCAACTACGAACCGTGTAGTCCACAGCTCGTTTAGTTCCCAACTCCGACCCTCACAACCTACGAATGTCATTACTACTCACCACTACGACCAACATGACCAACTACAATCTACACGGTCTACAACTCATGCAGCTCCCAACTCAAATCCCCGCAGCCTACGGACGTCATTGCTACTCACCATTACGACATATGTGACCAACTACGACTTATGTGGTATACAACTCTCACAACTCCCTGCCACAACCTCTATGCCCAATTTACACTCATGAAGCAACCAGCTATGACCCACCTGAACAATTGTTGTCATGTTTATTAACTACAATTTCTATGACAAGTTGGCATTATGACCACCATCTATAACACTCACGACATACTACTATTTTCGATCAGCTGTCACCCGTTTTGGATGCGGTGATTCAATCTCTACCCTTATGCCCACTGAACTCTGACGTATAACGATATCACCATCGAAATGGTTTTGGTTATTTCACAGGTTCTGATGCGACGAGTCGCTACCTATTTGAGATGTTAGAGACTTACTCTCTGTCCGATGGCTTAGCAAGATCTTTGAAGCACCGAGACATTCAAATATGGAGTAACCACCCTTTTGATGATCTATTCTTCAGGTTCATGATAATATCAGTGAAACTCTTTTTATCGAGAGTATTTCTAAGTATCCCACAGAATGTAGTTAACTAGATGAATATGTTCTTTTGGGAAACTCTCGACCCTAGAAAAAAAATGTTCTTTTTGGTTCTCTGATTACATGTGATTTATATAAGGATTCTCTTCATGGAAGTTGTATTTCAAGGTGCTTCGATCAGATCATGTTCAGACGTATTTTCTCGACCTATCACACAAGGATTATCCATATATAAGTCTTCCGCTTGTTTCTTTTTATTTGTTTGTATATTTGTTTTTGTATATCATTCTTTTCTATTTCTCTTATATTTGAATCAATGTCATGATTTGGGGGGGAGATTTATTTGAATAAGAGAATTATACATACGACATATAAATAGACAAACTGACGACAGTGAGTCTGAGAAAACTCTCACCATTCATAATAATTATTTTAATTAAGCTAGACCTTATAGTTTTTTCTCATTCTAAATTTTTCACGTAAAAATATCTAGTGTTTCCTCTAGTTTCTTTTCTTTCATTTGAGTAGGTGTTGAATTCTTGTACAACTCTACGATGTAATCTATTACTTTACCGTCTTGAGCATGCATCAATTATGAATAAAAAAACTCTAGCTCTATCATTTACAGTTTTTTTAATTTATAAATCTGAGATTAAATATTTCAAATAAATTATTAAATTCATTACCTACGAACAAAATATTAAGATTTTTATGATAATAATTTTATAATGATGTTAAAATTTAAGGGCTTTTACATACATAGCATTGAAAACTCTCACATTTAATTTTCTCATACCTTTTAATAGTCAAATTCATCTCCTAATGTATAGGTAAAGTGTCATGTGTGTAAAAATAAAAGTTTAGGTGTGAGATAGGTAAATTCATAACAATTGGTTGGTATGAGTGTTATTTTCCCTAAAATTTAAGTGATAGCATTACAAATTGACGAAGGAATGCATTTAAATAGCTATTCTAAAACTAAATAGTACACACGTAATTAGGGGTGTAAACGAGCCGAACACGAGCCGAGAGCGAGCACAGGCTCGGCTCGTGTTCGACTTGTTATATTTCGAGCTCAAAAAGTGTGTTCGTGTTCGGCTTGTTTGATTAGCGAGCCGAGCACAAGAAGCTATGTCTTTTTGACAACCCTAATAAAGTAGTCATAAGAAGTTAAGGATTTGGGGCAAGATTTAAAAATTATTATTTATATTAAAACATCATTTGAATCTAATTTAATAATTTTTATTTTATTTTCTTAATTATTACTTTTAATTGATTATAAATCTCTAAATCTCTGTAGCCTTGTAGTCAATTAAGTTTTTAAAAATACTACTCATCAAATATATAATTGATTAGTAGTATTTCGAGCCAAAACGAGTCAAACACGAAGGCTCCTTAACTTAGCGAACGAGCCGAACACGAGCTGTTAGCGAACAACGAGCCGTTTCGACAGCTTTAGTCTATCATTGCATCAGTTAAATATATGGATTTAGTTTTTTAGTTTTTTTTTTTTTTACTTTTACGGACGTGCTATATATTTGAGCACATAGTAAATGGGCTCTAATTTTAATCCTGCAATATATTACGGTGTTAGAAATTGATATATCATCAAGAAAATTCGCTTAAAAAAAAAAAAAAAAGTTAAACTCAAAAGCAACGCTAATCTTCGTAACTTTATGGTGGAATTAAATTTATCTGTAATATAAATTTAATGACATTTAAAACGGTTCGATCCGAGCATTATATCATAAGCTTGAATTATGATCGGAAGCTTTGAAGTATTTATTGAATAATTAAATGATCTTTAAATATGAAATTTATAATTATATCAGCAACTTCAAGTCAACAACTACGATCAATTATTATGAATAACCACTAGTGACTATGATGCACGTAAAATTTGTGAAAATTTTAGTGTCTTAATAATGTTATAATTGAATAACTTTATACTCATTAAATTTGTCTCATTGGTATGCTTTGTTAACTATAAAGTCATAAGATTTGAAATCCATTTGACTCTCTAGATAAACATCCAAAACTTCTAAAGTGGCTCAATGATTTGATTTGAGCTTGATCTAACTCTGATTGAATGAATCTTAATATCATTATGTTTGTCTCGTCGAGTCACAAAATTTAATTTAAAAAATACTTTAAGGTTAGTGTTAATTGCTTTAAAATTGATATTATCGACGCTTCGGCTAACTAATAAAAAAGTGACCCATTTTGCCGTTGTTGGTAGATTTCTTGAATTCCGATGTAACTGTGCATAAAGATATCTATGAAATTTCTTATAAAGTAAATCGATACTCAATTAACAAATTTCCAACATCCAGTCTGATTCTTGAAGTGTGACACTGATCTCGATGCATATTTTTTTGGAGTAAAGTTCAAAGTTTGATAAAATGTCACCCTGAAGTTTGATTTCAGTGAACTTATAGTCAAACTTATCAGCTCAACGAGACGGAACCAATGATACCAAAATTGGTTCAATCCGAGTCAAATCAAGCTCGGATCAATCTATTAAACAAAGTTTTGAAAATTTTCTGGATACATTTGGAAAATCAAATGAATGTCGAATCCGTCGAGCTTATAGTCGAATTGTGCGTCTCGACAAGATGAATCCAACGAGACCAATATCGCTCAATTATGACACTATTAAGACACTCAAATGTTTATTAAAAGTCGTTTAAACTATTCAGACCCTCCAATCAAAGTGATTCATAATTCTACATTAATTATACCTTGAACTCTATAAATAGAGCCATACCTACACATAAAAGAGGGAGATCTCGAAGCCAGTTAAGAATTGGAGTTTGAGTAAGATAATAACTCTTGGTATCGTTGACTACTGTCGACCACCATCCACAGATCGTCGTCGACCACCAATCGTCGATCACCACCAACCAACACTTGTTGACTGCTGCCAACCATCACTCATCGGTCGTTGCAGATCAGCATCGATCGCCGCTCACTTCTAATTACAATTTCATCTGTGCACCGACTTTGTAGCTCGTAAGATTGTGTAACCCTTTCCCGTTTGTGGGAGAATGAACTATGCTTGTAATATCTAATTTATAGTAGATTTTTTCAGCCAGACCAGACCCTTTAATTTTTTTCCTTCTTGGATTTTCCGGAAAAAAAAAATTCTAGTGTATCTAGTGGTTGTTTTTTTTATTTGATGTGTGTTGAATTCTCGTGCAATATAAAAACGATAATATATCACTCTATCATTATAAATCTTCTAGCGCACATCATAAATAAATATAAATTATGTAAGCCACCCCCTGTAGCGTCTCCGAAACTTTCTATCCTCCATACTCCATTAACTACATCAAATAACCTAGATCAACATAAAATCAATATTTTATCTCTTATATTTACATCATATACCATTTAATCAGCATAATTTGAAAAATGTGACTGAAAATAAGTTGTCATAATACAACTTGATCTCAAAATAATTATTTGATAGATTTATATACACTTCATTTAAAACTATCAATAATACATATCTCACACCTAAACTTTGTGACAAAATAATTATTGATTAAAATTGGGCCGTGTCAAAATGATGTCAAAATCTTTTAAAATAAGGCTGAAATAGTTCACATAAAAGATTAATTAGAACTTAATTTTAAAATAATCGATCGCTATTTGACACTTCTATAAACTCTGGGACTAATAAGACTCTCCTCTGAAGCACTCATCGATCTCTTTCATGGGTTCGGCAACAAGATCAATGAAAAAAGACCTCATAAACTCTCATTTATTTTCTCATTCGATTCAATGGTGAAGGGATTGCAGCATACAAAGACCTCCAAAATACTCTTTAATGTACACCTACATGATCACGGCAAACAAAAACCTAAAAACTCCCCTTGTCCTCTTCTAGCGGCGAAGGAATCTTGGGGATTAGGAAAGAGGTAGATCCCTTTTGTCTCCTTCCACAAGTTCTTAAATCCCCTCATTCCTCCGTTTTGCCTTAAATCCCATTTCTCTGCTTCACATACAACTTCTTAAACCAGTCTTTAATCTTGTTTCCCCTCCATTTTGGTCTTCGGTCGCTCTGATCCCCCCACAACTTTGCCAAAATCGAGCAGCACTGAACTTCATTTAACTTAACGCGGTTAGAAATTTAATATTGAGGTGTTAATTCTGTTGTTATTGAATGTTTTAGTTGATAAGGATGTAAATATTGATGTTTGGAAGTGAGATATATAATATTGATAGTTTTAAATGCTAATTATTTTCTAAACTAATCGTTACAATTATTGTCAATCAGAAGGGAGGTAAGAGATTTCTTATCCTCACTCCGGTTACCTGATCTAGGCATTTTATTTTCAGCGACAACGATTTTTTAGTAGGTCAAAAACCTTTCCTCGCTCGTTCACTGCTTTCCCAGTGACCGACTACCTCATTAAATCCGATCACATTTCCTTCACCTCCATCCTCTCCCTCCCCGCGCCACCACCGACCCCCATCTCTCCCTCTTTCTGTTTGCCTACCTAAGAAGGTGGACTGCAACCCATTACTCACCTCATCTCACAACATGTCGAAGTTCTCTCGCCGCCTTTCCTCTAAACTTCTCCCATTCTTCCTCTGCACGCTACTCCCTCTCTACTCATCACGGCTACTGTCACCAAGGAACATCGCCGTCCTCGATGTCACCGCTTCCATCCAGAAAGCAGCCGCCGTCATCGCCTTTGACTCTCAGCGAGCCCACGTCATTGACGATGAAACCATGATTGAATCCATGGATGTCGCCAACTCTTCCAATCTCTCGATCAAATTGCATTCTCGAGATTTCCTCCCCCGGGCCATCGCCGGCGGTCATAAAGACTACCGGAGCCTTACCCTCGCCCGCTTAGGCCGCGATTCAACCCGAACCCAAGCCATTTCTGCAAGGATTTCCCTCGCCATTCACGGCATAAAGAAGTCCGATCTGAAGCCATTGATCACCGACGATATGCTTGAAACCACAGCAAGTGGCGGCGGCGGCGAAGTTTCCGGTCCTGTGGTCTCCGGTACGAACCAGGGTAGCGGTGAGTATTTCTCTCAGGTCGGGATAGGGCAGCCGGCGAGACTGGCGTACCTTGTTATAGACACTGGAAGTGATGTGACTTGGATCCAGTGCCAGCCCTGTACCGACTGTTACCAGCAATCGGACCCGGTGTTTGACCCGGCAGCATCTTCAACCTACTCGCCATTGTCGTGCGACTCGCAGTCTTGCCGATCACTAGACGTCTCAGCCTGCCGGAACTCTTCATGTCTCTACCAAGTCTCCTACGGCGACGGATCTTTCACCGTTGGCGAATTCGCCACCGACTCACTCACCTTCGGTTCCTCCTCTCCAGTTCCCTCCATTGCTCTTGGCTGCGGCCATGACAACGAAGGCCTCTTCGTCGGCGCGTCGGGCATACTCGGCCTCGGCGGAGGTGCTCTCTCTTTTCCTTCCCAGATCCAATCCCCTTCTTTCTCCTACTGCCTCGTCAACCGCGATAGCTCCAGCTCCTCCACACTCGATTTCGGTTCAAAATCCTCCGATCCAACCACTGTAACCGCTCCACTCCTCCGTAACAGTAAGGTCGATACGTTCTACTATGTAGGTCTCTCCGGGCTCAGCGTCGGCGGCGAAGTCCTTTCGATCCCAGCCTCAGCATTCGCCATGGACGAATCTGGAACCGGAGGCGTGATCGTGGACTCCGGAACGGCGGTGACGAGGCTTCAGCGCGACGCTTACTCAGCTCTCCGTGAAGCATTCTCGAAGGGGATGACCGATCTGCCATCAGCCGAGGGTGTTGCGCTGTTCGACACTTGCTACGATTTATCCTCGAGGACTTCGGTTGAAGTGCCCACGGTGGCTTTCCGGTTCGACGGAGGAAAAGAGCTAAAGCTTCCGGCGACCAACTACTTGATTCCGGTGGATTCGACAGGCACTTTCTGCCTGGCCTTCGCGCCGACGAGCTCGCCGCTCTCCATTATCGGTAACGTGCAGCAGCAGGGCACACGCGTCGCTTTCGATCTCGACAACGCACTGGTGGGCTTCACTCCGAATAAATGTTAAGCGGACGGTATTGCCCCTGTCTGTTGGTTATTATTACGGTTACCTCCGTAGAAATTAATTAGCGGTATTTATTGTTTCATAAATGGAAATGAAGGCGGTGGGGGGAAGCGGGTTCGCTTTGGTTGTTGGGGTAATTAAAGAGGTGTCGTAGTGGCATTCAAGGGATTAGAGCCGTGTTTCTTCTTACTTGCTTACGACAATTTATCTCCATTGAAATATAATGGTATGATATTATTTTGCCTGTGTTAGATGCAGTGTTAGACTTCCCGCTATCAATTTCGTCTGTTCATGAACTGCTTTATTGAGAATCTTGGTGTCTATGACTGCTGACACAAATTCTTTTAAGGACACATTAACGGTTAGCTTTTCTTTTTAATTTCTATGCAAATTCAGTCTCCAACAAATGCATCTCATATGCAAAACCCTAAACCCAAATTTTTTTTTCATTTATTTTGAAAGCCTAAACTCTTGGACAACTAATTAAAATGACTTGTATACTATTAATTTATTCAACTGATTGCAATTAGGGGTGAAATGTGTGGTCGTTTACTGATATATTGAATGACGTTATAGTGCTCCTTTGATTAACTAAGGCATCCTTATAATTACATAGATAAAGTTTTTAGAATACATTGAAATGTTAATAGATTGAAATGAAGTTTAATAGATTGAAATGTTCATTGTTATTTTTTAAGAATATTGGTTCAGTACCATATATAAGGTTTTACTTGAATGAATTTTTCTCGAAGTTCAGGCATCATAAGCTTTAGTTTAGCAAACTGCAATTAAAATAATGAGATGAAAAGTATTTAAATTCACAAAAAGATTAAAAAATTAGAATGCCTCACAACAAAGATGCATTTAAGTTAAAAAAACATAAGATTGGAAATAAGGGTGATTTGGTTTCCTCAGTTGTGGCTTGAATGGTTAGGGCAGGTGATAGGGCTGCATTGAGGTACTGAGGCTTGAATTGGGGTGAGCGGGTTTAGTGCATCGGAGGGTTGGTGATGACGTCTCTAATGAAGGCAATGGAAGCTAAATTGATCATTGTTGTTGTGGTTAAAGTAAAAGGTATTGCGAGAAGGGGAGCTTATTGATGAGCATGGAGAGCCTTAGATGGTATGTAAAAATGGCATTCATGTAAATACGTCAAAGTTCTTTGCCAATGGGAAATCATTCTTTTGAGATAGTTTTTTTATCTAAAAAATATGAACTATATGCAAATACAACTATTTTAGAGGCGATGATGACTGTCATATTGATTAGATGGAACATTTTACAATTCTTCACCTTTGTGAACGTCGTCCATTATTAAGTCCCCATGAACACCATGTGTGAAAATTGAATGCCTATTTGCAGTTTTTTTTTTTTTTTTGGTGTGATTTTTGAAGTTATTTTTGCAAAAATCTAGGGCTATACTACATGACTTTGAATGATTCTTTTTAATTATAAAGTTTTTTATAATATTTTAATGTCTTTATGAGATTAGAATTGAGTGATTTTATAACTATTATATCCAGCTCATTGAGATACACATTTATACACATTTTTTACTAGAAATTTATTATGCGTGAAGTTCAATTGATTTTGAATTTTTTTTTTTTTAATTTTTACTTCAAATAATTAAGTCAAATTTTTAATTTCATCAGGCAATTTTTTCTTGAATATCTAAAAATGTGAAATGAGAAAGTAAAGAAATTACAATACTAGGGAGGGGGAGGGAGGGAGTCATAAATTTAGCATCTTAGTGTTGCGCAATATCCAAACACATATTTTTGTCATTGATAATAGTTGTAATTTGGCTGTTTTGAATTTCATTCTTGGTGATAACATACTGCAAGGGTCATAGTCGATTGTTATGGCGGCAGTATTCTGTCGTCAATATTGTAGATGATGGTGGTGACATCAGTTTGTCACATAAGTCTTAGTTGAAAGTCATGATAGTAGTTGGTCGTGTGAGCCACAATTGATTGGCTCAGAAGCGGTCATTGGCTATAGAAGTTGCAGTAGAAGTTGCAAGAATTGTGAGTCACGTAGGCTCTGATTGATCATGTGGGGCGTAGATGTGAGTTGTGATGACGTCTATAGGTCATATGGGCCTGAGTTGGGAGTTGCACGAGCTATGAACAATGTAGACCATATTTAATCATACAAGCCGTAAGGGTGAGCTGCATGAGTTGTGAACAATGTAGGCCACAGGAGCCGGAGCCAAGAGCTCCATGAGTTGTGAACCACGTAAGTCATAGCTGGTCACATAAGCCCTTAGTGGTGGGTTGTGATGGTGTCTATATGTCGCAGGGGTCGGAGTCGGGAACTGCACGAGTTGTGAGTCATACAAGCCGTAGTTGGTCACGTAGGCTGGAGTGGTGAGTTGTGATGATGTACGTAAGCAGCGAAGGCTGAACTCATGAGCTGCACGAGCTATGTGCCACATAGACCATAGTTGGTCACATAAGATGTAGTAGTGAGCTTTGATGACACCTGCAGGCCGAAGTGGCATGAGTCGAGAGTTGCAGAAGCTGTGAACTATGCACGTAGGCCTTAATGGTAATCTCTGATGACGTCCGTAGGCCGCGGTGTCGAAGTTGGGAGCTTATTGAGCTGTGCTCAAGTAAGTCGTAGTTGGTCACGTAGGTCATGATGGTGCGATGTGATGATGTTCGTAAGCCCGGAAATCAAAGTTGGGAGCTGCATGAGATGTGTGTCATGTTGGTCGTAGTGGTGAGCTGTAATGATGTCCATAGGCCGTAGAAGCATGAGTCGGGAGTTGCACGAATTGTGGACTACATAGGTTGTAACTAATCATGTAAGTCTTGTTGTGGGTTGTGATGATGTTCATAAACCGTGGGGGCCAGAGTAGCGAGCTATCAGAGCTATGTGCCACGCAGACCATAATTGTTCACTTAAACCATAGTGGTGTGTTGTGATGACGCCGTAGGTGCTAAGCCTGGAGTCAGAAGCTGGACGAGTTGTGCTCCACATAGGTCATAGTTGGTCACGTTGGTCGTAATGGTAAGCTGTGATGATCTTTGTAGGCCGCAGTGGCGGGAGTCGAGAGCTTCATGAGTAGTGAACCACATAGGTCATAAACGATCACATATGTCGTAGCGGTGAGTTGTGAAAATGTCTGTAGGCGCATCAACCAGAGTTGGCGACAACATTGGCCGGCGGCTGCAGGAGCAAGAGGACAACAATGATCGATGGTGGTTGACAGTTGCAAATGTAGGAGGCCGATGGTGGCAACGGTGGACGAAAGCGATGGAAGCAACTAGAGGCGGTCATGCTCAAAGTGGGTCGATATACGGTGCAGGATGCTGGGTTGCAGTGGCTCCTTATGCAAACTATGATCTTGATCTAGCTCAGTGTCTAAGTCCCCTTCTCATGAGGTGGTTAGGGCTCTATGTTTATTGTCCAAGTTGCGAATAAAAACGAAATCCAAGCTACTCTTGATTGGACGATCTAGCGAGATCCCCTTGATCAAATTACATTTGATGGACATTTTAGAGCCTTAATGAAGTCTGAATTAAGTGATCGTTGGGCTTGTTGGATTTGTCTTGCCGAGGTGCTTAATTTGACTATAAGCATGTCATATTTAAAATCCATTCAACTTTCCAATTATGTTCATCTCGGATTGAACCAATCTTGGTATCGTTGGTTTGACTGTAAGTTTGTTGAATCGAAGTTCTGAATAGCATTTTATAAAAATTCAAATGTTTCTTGTTTAAAATTTATCTCGAGATTTATGTCATGCCTTAAAGACTCATGTTTGGATGTTAGAAATTTAATTGGTTAGACCGGTTGACTGTGAATTGACCATAGGTTCAGTTCTTGTTGGCAGAAAAAACCACTCTCGCATAGAACCATCGAGAACTGGATTGAACTGACAGTTCAACCCTGATATACCTCTCAATTTTATGTATTTTACATATCAGACGCCTAAACCCTATCTTTTACATTTATACCACCCAAATCACTCATATCAAATAAAATAAATCATTATTACAAAGAAATTCAATTTACATACATATCACTCAATTTTATTTATTTACATACCTAACACCTAAACTCTTTTTTTTTTTTCATTTTATACCACTAAAATCATCCATATCACATAAAACATATGGCTTTTAGTTTTTAAAAGCCGATACACGTTTTCATGCATAGATAAAATGACATATATTAAGATTAAATTTTAGGTGTTAGTTATTTAAATACATATGAATTGAGTGGAATGTAACTCTTATTTATTGTGGTTTTTATATACATTTATGATTTATTAGCTCATTCTCAACCCCGCTTCAACATTTGAATCTTGGACATTTCCTTCTAATAGTTCAATGTCCGATCCAATCTTCACAATCTCGAGTAATCCTAAGCGGCCCCTAGAGTAAAGCCACACCTACATTGATTAACCATAATTTATATCTCGGTATCTTCAAACCTTTCATTTAACTGCAAAATGAACTAAATATTATATCCATTTTGCCGGACAAATTATATACACTTCGTTTTTTATGTTTAAAATATTTAATGATGTAATAAATCAAACATGAACATCACAAATTATTAATTCATAAATCAGTGCGCATTGGGAGACAAATGATGTGATATTTTTAAATCACAACATTAATTTGATTTTGCATTCTAAAATAAAATTTTATTGATATTTCATTTTCGGTGAAATATGCTAAAAAAATAAGGAATATTCTTGTTCAAATTTTATTAGGATAAGCTTAAAAAAAACTATCCTTAGTATATTCCAAGGGATTTGAAAGTATTAAATTTTAAAGATAGCTTATTTATAATTTTAATAATTCTATTGTTTTTTTTTGGCAAAATCTTTATAAGTTTATAGTCAATATTATAAAAATGATTTTATTGACGGATTGTAATAATTTTAATGTATTAATATTTAATCATTTATTTTATAGAAAAATGTTTATTATTGTTATACTAGTATACTATTAAAAAAATTAAATTCATTGGATTTCATCTTCTTTAAATTTAATAAAAATACAGATGAAAAATTTTAGAACCCACCTTGATGAGAGTTGAATTAAAAAATTTCTATTTAATTTCTTTCTACCCGGTTAATGAATCTCAAAATGTTCTTCGAAGCAGGGATAGAGCATTGGTCGGATGAAAGAAATGCATAGTGGCAAAAAATATTAATCATCTGGAAATAGATTCAAAAGTCTTTTCTGTAAAAATGACCCCCTCTTTATAGGGCATTG